AAAACATTCATCTACCTCATAATCATTAGGATAATCTTGGACTTGATTTGAATTTTCTACCTGTGCAAACTTCATATCTGGAAAAACTAGTTCTCTGATTGCTTCGGGAAAACTTGCTATTCCCTCTGATTTACCATACCATTGCCTAGGGATTCTACTTTTCACACATTTTCCATGAGAATATCAAACATCTGATACAATAACATCAGAAATGTGACCAGAATTCGACTCATTCGGAACATATTTGTCACATTCACTAGGAATACCATTAGAGATGAATTCATTGAGCGGGCCACTGACACTTGATATGATATCAGAATCTGATTTTTCTGAAATATCTTCAAATTTATCAAGGGTTTTATTAGAGAATAATGGATCATTAGGAAAATCAGCATCTATGAAAACTGAATCTGGTTTTTGATCACGATTTGACTCATTCAACATACTGTTCTCAGAGTTGTAAGGAATTTCATCAGAAATATGTGAATCATTATGGCAAACCATATCTGGTACAATAACATGAGAAATCTGATAAGAAGTTGGTTTATTGGAAACTTTTGTCTCACAATGATTCTGGGTTTCATTCAACTCTGGACTGCTATGTGACGTTATACCGGTTCTAGAAGTCTTGGATAAAGATAAGTGGTCATTTGAAACATTCAAATTAGTAGGATCACAATCACAAATTTTAGCATTAGTTTCAGCGAAATGAACCATGGTATTACAAACTGACTGAATGTGTCCAGTTTTACCACATTTAAAGCATTTATAATTACGAAATACACATAAATTACATGGGTGAAAGTTGCCATAGAAAAAGCACTTACCAAACTTGTGCTCATCTTCATGAACTGTCTCACAATTTAATGAATCGTTAAGTGAATAACCCTGATTACGTATTGAACTGAGACGACGTAGTAAAGTAGTGGAATTCCTGATATCCTGGCGAGTGATTTCATTGAATTCTTCCCCTTTACCTAGTATACTTTACATGGTCCAGCAGTAGTTGCTTAAGAGTTGCATAAGGGAGTGAAATCGGCTTGTCTGGAAATGCCAAAGTTTTTATTAAGCTGTATGCTTCTTTTCCAATGAACTTAAGGAAATGAGCAACAATATTAAAATCCTCATCATCTTTCTTAGTCATAGCCCAGATTTTGAACATCTCCATGTAATCCTCAGAAGCATCAAAATCTGAATGTATATCCAACCGTTCCATCGCAGGCTCCATCGCGACGCCAATGTGATTATTTGAAGTATTTGGATTATAGTATAAACTAGTAATCCCGGTAATAACGCAATTTAATCAAGAAGTATTAGATGAGCACGAACGAATGTACTGTATTTGGAATTCAAAATCACAACAGTCATCAATACAAAAGAATCATTGATTCATTCAAACACCATATCGTATCACTGCATATTTGTAACTATTAAATTTATACGTGTCAAATATCCTAGCTTAGAACTCTGTTTCTTTACATAATGGTAAAAAAAATAAAATGTCACTAACGTTATGGACTGATAAAGTGTCATCATCGAACCCATGGCCACCATTCATTTTCAGGCTACTTCAACTCTACTCGTCATAAACTCAGTTATATGTATTCGTCTTTCGTATTTACAACTATAACTATATGTGCCTTACCCGAACACGAGGGAAATTTCGAGAGAATCTGTGATTTATTCCTTTTAGTTTTCAACCCCCAATGACTGATATTCCAACAATCTAGCAGTGATATATGGTAGGCTATAAAATGATATGCCTGGTCTTTGAAAACTGTTCCAATAACTTTCCTTCAATATAAGAGATTGGAAACACTATTATCTGTGCTATTATTTTGTTACTTAGAAGAACATCATGGGACTGTGAAAGTTACCCAAAAGGAATGACCTGATCATTGGATTACTTAATTTTTTGTAGTCAAATGAGAAGTATCTACAGCAACCAGTTTTAAAACTTTTGTTTGGTATTAGAAGTGTGCTAAACTCATCAAACAATCGTGTTTTGTGCAATTTCTAGACATTTTAATGTTATATGATAAAAAACCATTCAGTTCGAATGGTACTGCAACTACTTTTGAACTAGCCAAGAATAATTAAATCTAGGTCTTGTTACTCGTGTGTAAAATGATAGATATCAACAAGATTACATTACGGTTTATTTTTTTCATACATTATTCCGCAGTCCGTTTAGTAATAACCAACCACTACCCTAATAATAAATATATTTTATTATATCCCAATGAGTGGGAAAATTGTATTGGGATATAACAAAATATGTTTATTATTAACTCTCTACTCAGTGCTCAATTTATTTGAAATCATCATATTCCCTACCTTATTTCATTGACATAACCGTGCTTATTGGAGTAAGAGATTATTGGAGGTTGTAGAGTTCTATGGTAGTTCACACCATGGATCTGTAATTCCCTCAGGATAGGGGATCGGACGTCTTGGTGCAACCAACTGCGTAAAGGATTTCTGAAGTTTTAATAAGAAAGTGCAACGTGCAGATTTTAACAAATAAAAAGTAAGAAAACATAACTACGGATGATAATATATGTCGCGACGTAGTTCAAATTGACTGAAGTAAAAAAAAGAAACCGATGGATTTTGAATAATTGACAAAAATATATCATTCCCTTGCCACATTTATAGTTGTTGGCCTTGTGTATGAATACAGTTGGAGAGTTTCCAATCAATGAGAAACGGAAATCCAGCATTATCGAAGGTTCTAATATTTATGTATCTACTACCAGATCGGGGAAAAACTAATAACGAAATAATATTTCTAAGAACTCTCGTCCAAATTAGAACGAATAGTTTCACAGTATTTGAGCGCCGAGTTGAAGTAAGACATTAAATAGGAATAATATATTTGTAAAATCTCAGCGAATGAATTTTTAAATTAAATCCAACGTTTCGCCTGACAATCTGGTCCAAGCTTTTTCAAGGAATTAGAAATAATATTTCTATTTGTTTATTGAACAGATATCTAGATTATAAACTGTATGAAGTGTTCCTATCATGGAAATGATGCTTCTGATCATATTGTTCAAATCCGTTTGGTCCAACTTTTATCAAAGATAAGATTGGTGTGAGAAACTACAGTAATATTGTTAAGCTACGTATCACATGTTACTTCAACTATATCCCAAACACTGGTTACTTTGTCCTATGTTTAATTAGTCAGACAATCTATTGGTTATTAATTTTTACAGACAGATAACACGTACAGATATATACATACAGACAAGATCGTTTGGTAATAAAACGATAGGTAGAAGTGGACAAGGTATACAGAGTGATGTTATTCGTCTCTGTTTATTACTTCTGTGATGATCGCAAACATACATACATGCATATAATTCCTAATGGTGTACTTGAAGCAGTCAATTATTCTGAGTGTTTGTTCATCTATACCCTACGTAGTTAACTTTGTGTTTATATTTTGCACAAATAAAAATTTGACAGGGATGTGCTTTTAATAACCAGTCGTTTTACGTGGAAGAGCAATACAAATTCTTATTCGAAGTGAGAAACACTTCAATTGTAGGATGTTTTATGCAGGAAGCTTTTGTAGCTGTAAATAAATCTCCAAAATCAATAGCTCTGTAAGTGTTCGACATAGGATTCTGACCACATTGGTTTTAATGAAATCATTTAGCTGAAGGCGCTCAGTAATATATCCGCACCAGATAACATTTTGCAACGGCGTGCGCAACATCTCCTGCGATCATTGGCTAGATTAGATCAGCCAGTCCCCGATATATTGATAACCCATCAAATATATCTTCCAACCTCTTCGCTTCTGACTTTTGTTTTTATTGAGTGGGCGCGATTCAACTATAGAAGGTATTACTGCAAATTGTTTTCAAACTAAAATACCTGTGGTATCTTCAAAGACATTAGTGATTCACCATCGATAAACCCTATAGCTTATTCTAATCCGTTTACGTTTGACTAAGAAAATTTGAATCGAACTTCATAGCGCAGAGAGTAGCAAACGACTACTATGTAGTGAACATGTAAGATTAAGTAACTTTTATTAATCATTGTGATTTGTAATAGTGCGAAGACGCACTGTTGCTTTGAAGTTACAAGAGAAGATGCGGATACTATAAACTCAGTTTTAACATTTCAGTAGTTTTCAGTACGACGATAGAGACGAGATCCCAGACATAAGATTGAGTTGGTGTTTTCTTTCCGAAAGTTTCCAGTCAATCAATCTATTGCATGCAAAAGAAATAGATAGATAAGATATATTGGTCGGTTGATGAGATGATAGAGAATATTTTTGTCTCAGGAGGATGACTTTCTTGCGGATGAGTTTTGTCAGTTATATGACTTAATGCTGAATGTCACTGCAAGTCACAGAAAAAGTTATCCACGTTAGCTTAACATTTGTATTAGTAAGGCTATTCCGTTGATGATTATGTATCATAGTTTTCAGCCTAGACAGATCATATTACTGACGTTAATGGTGTTTCAACAAATATTTAATTCCCTTTCATAGGGATCGTATTCTTATATTAATCCTAGAACTGCTACTATTTCAGTCCAATTTTTCCACTCATCCACAATGCTTTTCCATTTTTTTTATTACTCCGTACTTGCTTAGTAATTCAATAACATTTAAATTCTAGTTCACACTTAATTTGTTTCATCCCGGTCACAGAGTATGAAGATAGAGACCATATAAATTCAATACATCTCCATCCGCGATTGCCTACATATTTTTTGGAATGTGAGTGGTAATTTTCCTACCAATTTTATCTCTCATTTTCTTACTTCTGGATAATAAGCTTTTGAGAATGTGTCAGGCTTGCCCAGTTGTAGTCCCTGATAGCACTTCGCTCCACGTCGAAAATAGTTTTAGAGTATAATCTTCTGGAAACAAATATTTCTTAGGAGCTTTCACTGTTTAATTAGTACCCGCTCATTTGTTTTTATTTACATATTGGCAATTTGTTATTAGCTCAGTATTCAATTATAAGGTCATATGAGATGGAGGTAGTGGCGGCTGCCTGCTGCGTTTGTGGTAAAGAAATTTCACAGGATCAGGCTTTATACTGGTACAGTTACCGAAAGTTCATCTACTTCAGTTAGCCCTCAATGTAAAGCATTATTTTACTGCAGTGACAAGTGCAGGACTGCGGATTGGATATCTCCGAACAATCCAGATCACAGTCATCAGCAGTGGTGTAGCAAAATGAAAGATTTTATGAATTTTGAACCCGTTCTTCAGAAACTGCCTTTTACCTTTGCTCCAAGTAAGTTAAACAATGTGTAGCTAATACCATTAGTAACTACTGCTGCAGATTTTACACGGTTTAAATTGGATGAAATTCTCTCGCATTTCGGCGTAAATCGCCAAGGCCTCTGGAAATATGAGTTTTGTTCTAATTCACATCACTTCCAGATTTCTCCAGGTAATTTCTACTATGGATCTAAATTAATCATGTTATTTCCAACTATAAATGTCTTATCTCCTGGTGTACTTTTCATCTAGTGCTCTCATTGTGATGTTTGCTGGTGTATTAACTTGGAAACCTCCATCATTTTCCGGGAGCATGGTTTCCTTGCTGGATATTTGCCGCAATAGTAGGGAAATCGGATTCCTAAGCCTGCATCAGTTCGAAAAGCTTGGCGGATCAATTTGTCTGACTCAGGACACAAACTTGTACATTAGCTACAACTGGTTCTGTTACTTTTCATTAACGTTTCTTAAACCACTCCATAGTTTTCGAAATTATTTGATTGTCAGCATGTCCATTCATGGCGATAGTTTTATCAGCTTACAGTCGCTTCGTTCTTAATTTTTTTGTAAGAAATATTTTTGATGAGACTATTGTTCGTGGATGAACCAGTGAGGTATAAAATAACAGATCTCGGATCTTAGCGCGAAATTCACTCATCCATTTGGCTAAATAGCGTTTCGGCATTATTGCTGATGTCAGTTCGTAATGAAAACCCTAAATTTAATTGCTAACATTAACCACCAACTGTGAATCACAATTCTAGCTCTTCAAATTGGTTTATAACCCCTATTTGGTCCTATTTATTAAGTGGACACTCTCAAGGTCACTTGAGCGTCGCTCAGAAGTCTTTCATAAATTGTAGTCTCACAATATTCTTGTTTCTTATCTGTTGTTTAGAAAAACGTAGTTTAGTCAGTCAAAACACTTGTTGCTAGTTACAACGTAATACTTCCAGATTATGAGTCACACAAGGCCTCTACACATAAGGATTCCAACAAAGAATTTCCATCCAAACCAGTGATTCCACTTTTTAAAACAATGGTACATATCATACTCAACTTTCTTATTAATCGTTGAATTTTAGGTGGTGATCTCCCACTTTTCTCAGATTTATGGACTACCACCACCATTGATTCCGAAAAACTCGCACCGGTCACTCTGTCCTCGTCTCCATCATATGAGGATGCTCTAGTCCGGGCATTCGTGTCTCCATCACTCGCTGTAATTATGAGTTTGTCTCCATTATATGACTCTCCTGCTCCAGATCTTCAAGAACCAAGCTTGGTGAATATCAATTTGCGTGATTGGCTTGACTACTACAAGTGGAGAGGCCTTTGCTCTCCGGATGAAGAAAGTATTTCTAATCCTTTGGCTTTGCTACTTCACTGGCCTCTTACTCTTTATCATATTGTTGCTCACAAGCTTCCACAAATAAGTGAGTTTTCTTATCAAGTTGCCAGTTTTGTGCTACTTTTTTGTGTAGTCATATCTCTTTCCATTAACCAATTGCTCTAAAATGGCAATGACATAATGAAGTACAGTAAGTCGTGCCTTATCACTGACTGGTTATATTTTTCCAAGCCTAGACGAACCTGCTTCTCAAATTCAAACATTCTTTTATGGTGCTGTGGATTTTTGTTTCAGTAATTCATAAAGTCAGTGTTTCTTCCTGTTAAGAAGCCACTAGACAGGGTGATTTTTAGTAGTTTTTTTCCTACATTAATCGGATTGACTGATTAATGTAGCGCCTAGTATACTAACTTTCATAAACATTTGACGCATAATTGGAGTTTGAGACAGGAACTCCGAAAAAATCAATCGGGTTTTAACTCGATCTACCAAATATATACTCTTCACCAGTCTCTGGAATACATACTGACGTCCTATATATCCGTATTTCCCCATTTAATTTCGCCATCCAACCCAGCCAATGGGTCCTTTTTTCGGTTGTATATATCTTTGAAAAGCGCACCAAAAAATCAAATAAACCTGCTAAATTTCTCAATACTGTTAGAGATTAAGACTACATCCGAAGTTATCTTGTTCCCTAGTTTGTCTTTAACTTATTTCGTAGACGTGCTTTTGGAGATAACAACATCTGGCTTTCCATGATTTTATTCATAAACCTCTGGTACGGCCGAAAGTGGGGAGAGTTCGCTCTCCCTCTCTAAACGCTCTCACATGGCCACGCATATATAGACTCTGTCAGGGAAGTCCTACTCACTGCCTTTTCATGGCCAGGGTGTTGTTTACAAAATTGAGAGGATGAAAAACGAATGTCCGGCACTGTAACCGGGTTGGTGGACATGGAGGGTCCACCTAGGGGAGTTGGAAAACCCTGATTCCAAACTAATGGTGCACATGGGCTCCAGGATCTCGATGGAACGAATGGCGAATGAACCTATTGTTGGTCACCGGCTACCATGGGACTGCATCTCCTCACGATGCTCCGCTGCCTTGTGGATTAGACCTTTAGGCCAAAGGCTCCGGGTGTGGCCCATCTATGAAAACCACCTGCCTCGGTTTGGGTACCTGGGCAGTATCACAGTCCTCACACAAATCGAATGAGATTTGTGTGGTGCATATTTATCTGGTGCTTTCTTGTACCAATATTTATGTCTTTAAATAAAAAATATTCGGTAAAAACACTAATATGATGGAGTCATAGATTCCTTAAGCGATAATGCTGGTGTCCGGTTTTTGTCAAGCCTCCTACAAGCAGAGAATGTTTCTTTGGTAACTGACGGGATGTGTGTATGAATCTCAAATTTTATTTTTACTTTCTCTATTTTTTATCATTTGTAGCCCATGACTTCTTTTCATTTACTCATCAAAGGGGTAGACCAAAATACGATGGCAGTCCATAAGCTTACTAGTCGTCACACAAAGTTGTGTAAGTAGACACAAATCTCTGATTTTAAATCTGCGAGACGACTGTAATAAGTTGTTGAGGACTATGTGACATGCCTAAAAAGTAAGCAGTGGGGAATATGCGTTCGTTCTTCCTTATCCTTCTTCAGGTTTCATCTTTGTATTACCCTTTGCTTAACTTCATTTGTTCTGCTTATTCGTCTCAATATTGACTTTCAACCCGTTACTTTTCCTATCATTAATTCCCCATGTCCCAATCTAATCTCTGTGTTGTAGCAGCTTGATAGTTTCGGCTGATCCAACTGGCTTTATGTTGACTATGACGGATCAAACTCGCAGTCCTAATCTGAAGTTTCACAACGCTGAGTCATGTTGTTTTCTACGTCGTTAAACGTTTCTGTTCGTCAAAAGGCTTTCTAACACTCGCAAATATATGTTCAACTTGAAATGTTTTACAGTATAAGCTGATAACTCGTCAAAAATAAGCAATGCCTTCTCTGTTTATTGGGAGGAATATCCAACATCTTTTGTAATTTTACATAATGGTTGTACTTTTTACTGTAAAGTTATAAGTGATTTATTGATGTGCTTTCATGTCCTTTTTCGTTCTTTTTTTTCTTAATAGATCCCTTCTGTATTCCAAAAATTTTAATAAATCGGAAACTTATCATACATGTAATTGGAGTTGAAAAAGAACTCTCCCTTTTGCCAGTATTCAAAGTATGCTGGAGTAATCATTCCATAATGTTAATTATAATATTAGTCTTAACTTGATACTTAGATGTAACAGTTCCCTCAGTTTATTTCCCTAAAGTTGTATTATTTCATCAGCGATTAATAAACAAGCGTTTTACTCTAATACCATTTAAAATACAGTGTTTTAGGTTGTCATTTGCAAAGTAATTTGCTCATTGAACACGCGTTTATGTACTCGACTTTTGGCCATATGGTACATGTTCAATCGTGGTTAATTAGATAGATGATTTTTTTCAAGTGGATAAACAATGAGTATAGAAGACGACTTCATTTTATTTTGTCGTTATTCCTTAAATTAAAATTGCTTTTTATGTCCAAAATGATCCTATTACGGATCGTCTTTTTTGTAGTTCCATAGCTTTGGACACATTACGCTTGCAGATCTTCATATAAATAAAGAGTCTGAAAATTAAGTATTAACCGAACGAACAAACATTTACGACATCAGGTACAAGTAAACAATATTATTTTCAATTAGATCTTTATCAGTCTTTACTCTTATATTCAATAATATTAATCTGCTTGTATAGAAATATTAGACCAATCATAGCAGTCATTAAGTTAATAATAACAAAGAAGTGGATCATATCACTAAGTACAATAAGTGGGTTGTTAAGCCCTATCCGCCCAAGAAAATAATGTTTTTGCAAATTTCTTATAAATACAGGCACTAAAGTTGCTAGCTCAAATCCCTATGGCTCTTACTACATGTAGGTCAGTCAACTACAACGTGGGATCAGGCACATATACGCATCGGTTCAAGTTGCCACACCTCATTAACACAACAAGATGAATACCATATTAATAGAAGTAGTTACTTCAATGGTATTGATACATAAACGAAAGATTTCATATAATGAAATGATACAGGGAGAAAGTAATTTTAATCTCACCGTTTAAAGACAGGCATGTAGGAGACAAAATCGAACACCATAAAAAGAAGCAGAAGGCACTACTTTGAATGATATAATTCTTGAGCCTTGAATGCCTAAACTTTCTTATTACCATTAATACTGTTACCAATTCTACTACTATGGAATGTGTCTTGACAGTTTCATCTTGCTGTGCAAGAGTGTGGTAACTTAAACAGATGTATACATTTTCCAGGTTTAACAGTGTGGCTGGCTGATCGCTGTCGACTAAACGTGATAGAATGAAGTTGTGCATTGTTTTTGTTTATGCTCTTTCCCAACAACGAAGGGAGGTGTTCACAAACTCATTGGCCAAGTTGCCTTGTTGTTTGCTCGATTTAACTTTCTTCACAAGAGCGGCTAAATTTGTAAATACCTATTGATGTGACAAAACTAGGTGACCTATCCTCAAAAGGTTTAGAAACATTTGTACTGACACCGCAGAGAACGAAGCACCACTAAAAGAGCCTACATTAGTTGCAAGTTTTTTCTTATCATTAAATAAATCATAAAAATGCCATTCTTACCACATTTGAGCAGATCATACTTTTTAAAACAGGAACTGGATCATTTGTTCAAACCACAACTCCGAATTTGTATCTACTTCATCGGTAGACATTTTGATGCTGCAACGGATAGAATTGTCTATCATCTTTCGTCACGATTGTCCGTAAGTGTTTGGAGTGGATTATATCATGAATTTTTGCATACTCAAAAATCAAATGAACTGGCTGATTTGATTATTGGTAAGTAATGTATGTAAAGCAGAGGTGAACTTATTTTGCAAATTGAATATTTCTAACGACATTTCTAAGGGTGGAGGCTATTAGAATTGTTTATTTCTCGAGTATCTCAGTCCATTGTAAGTTTTGATTGTAGTTGAAAATACCACGTTTTTAATCTTAAACTACCCTATAAATAATATTAAGAACCGACTGTTATCTAGATATCTTTAATCTATGCATAAATAAATGGATATTTATTCCATTCTAAATTATTCGGTAACTTTTCAAATATTTTTATCTTCCTTCAATTTCCACAAGTAAGGTACTTATGACTTAAATGATGTGTTCGTGCTTTAATAATCGGTCAGAATTTGCGTATTTAAACTGTTAAGCAATCAAATCGATTCTATGGTGTCCTGCAGTAAAGTTATGTATGTTTTCTGACTCATACTTATCTTGAGAAATAACGTAAAATATTTATTTTGAACTGTCTATTTTTAAGACTTCATTTGATACCTTAAATTTGTTCGTATTACTTAAGTTCCAATACAAACGGTTAGAAAATACTCTGATAAGTTCAAATGGATTTAAAAAATAATCTATCACAACAATTGAATACAGCGTCGTGTAACCATTTATAAGTCACTTGCTATATGAATTTAGATAAAACTTCCTGTCCAGTCCTCAGCACAAATCAATGATAAGTACTACTGGAAAAATTGCTCTTGCTTTAACGCTCATTCAAAGAAATCATAGTCACAATCATTTGATAACATGCGTCACGCATCAAAATTGACACAACCTACTGTGTAGACACAATTTTGTGTGGAAGTAAACGGGATCGTATCTTTTGTTCTAACCAAAACGTTTCTTACAGTGTTAGTTGTCTTATAGAAAGCTTTAATTTTGTACACTTCCAATATCGGTTGTAACTCTTCTGTCGTACCTTATCGGTGAGGTAAAACCATAATACCTATCCAATATTTCATTATGATTGTTACTTACAGATGGACAGTTTTTAAAAAAATAATATTCTTAGGAAAATTATTGAAACGTAGGATGTTTATTATATTCACTTTTTCTTTTCATTTGTCTTCTGAAGTAATGATCCTGGTTGCTCTCCTGAGTCAGTCAGTCAGCTACATATATAGGGATCGGTCCAAGTTGCCACACCTCACTAGCACAACAAGATGAACACCATATTCATAGAAGTAGTTACTTCTGAAGAGATTCAGGGTTAGGGAAATTTTCGCACTGAATGGATGTACAGAGTTAAAATCAATATACTGATTTAAATGTATCAGCTTTTGGTATATGGCTAGATTGAGAGTATGCTTGGATTCAACACATTTTACATTCAGAGGGACCTAATATAGACAAACGAATGGAATAGCTATGGAATCCCCAGTATTCCCAGTTGTTGAAAATTTATTCATGTCCCACATTGAGTCGTTTATTCTCGCTAGCACCATCAGGCCACACATCTGGTTGATATGTAGATGACACATTTATCATCATTAAAAAAACCCTTCTTAGAAGTTTCTACAGAGTAGGTTGTGTTGATTTTCATACTATATATATCTATATTAGAGAGTCCTCCCGAGGGGGGGGTCTTGACTCGTGCCAGGAAACACTTAAGTTACACAAAGAAACCTAATAATCCCGTATGATTGGAAAATTCACAGATAAAATCAGCAATAGCAATACATGCTATTTTCAATAATCACCAAATTGATATTAAAAATATCAAAAATTTTCAGAAAGGCTTTTCGTACTATAAGGAGAAGCGAGTAGTTGAAGAGTTTCACATTATGCTAAAAACCTCTGTTCCCACTAGGAAAGAAGACCTGAATATTCATCCAACTCAGACTATTTTTCCAAACAACCACATGTAACCTTATTTATTTCCCACACAATCTACACATAGGACAGATAACGGGGGCCGTCTACTGCAACTGTGCACAGACTACAACCTGCTTCTGGCTAGCACCAACTTCCGGCACAGTCATCGCCGGTGTGCCACCTGGCGTCCTCCCTCTGCATCCCAAGCCTGGACTCAGATTGATCACATCGCGATCAGCTATCGCTGGCGTGGTTGTGTACAAGACTTCCGCTCCTTTTGGAGTACCTATTTGGACTTTGATCATGCCCTGGTCTGCGCCAATCTCACCTTACTTTTCAGTGACCGAAGAATTGACCGTCATCAACGGATTGATGTTAGTGAATTGGCTGCAACTTCTGTAGCAAATAAGTATCGAACCGATCTAGCTTCTGGGCTAACTACCATCCCACCGAAAAGTATAGATGAGCATTGGTTGCAACTGCATGACGCCATGAAAATGGCGAGTAAAGCCACTTGCGGCTTTGCGAAACGTCTTGCTTATAAGCACTCTGTTTCTTCAGGCTCCTTACAACTGATCGAAGCCTGTCGGTCTACTCCGTGGTGACCGTGAGTTTGACCACAAACGAAGGCTGTTACGTGATGAAATTGGGCAAAGCTAGCGTGTAAGGACCGATAAGCCTGGTGGTCGGAGCGTGCTAATGAAATGGAAGCAGCAGCTGCATCTGGTAACTGCCGGAAGCTCTTCCAACTCATCCGAGCCACTGGCAGCAAGAAGTCTGGTGTGAGTGAAACAATCTGTGAAGTTGATGGGATGCCAACCACTAACATGTATCGACGTCCTGGACGATGGGCGGAATTTCGTGAAGGGCAGTTCAACTGGCCTGCTGCTCCGGCAACATCGATCAGATTGGCCTGCCCCCCATAGCCTGTGACGGCTGATTCATCTAACAAGGCAGACGTTCGCAAAGAACTCCAACTCTTCAGACGCTACAAATCACCGGGCCCAGATGACTTACCTCCCCGATCGTTGCTGCTACCTTGACGTGGTGATTCAATCGAGCTATACTGGCTGGAACAATCGTTCCTCAAGGTCCTACCATGCCAGGCAGGTCGTTTGAAGAGCGGTGAGACTAAAAGCAGCAAACCTAAGGTCCGAAGGTGAAGTCGTACTGCTGACTGTACAGAGGTGTGACAGCAGTAAGGTGTTTCCTTCAGACAACCAGCATGACAGCGATGCTGATTTCCCACAAGGAGGGATGGGGTTAGAAAATGGACAGCCAACGAAATACACCCTCCGTGTATCTGGCGACCCGTTGGCTAGTTCTCGTGGACTTGCAGGTGTAGGCATAGCACTAAGCACAAGGGCAGAACAGGCACTACTAGAATGGATCCCCGTTAACAGTCGCCTGTGTGCTGTCCGGCTAAATGGTTCCGTAAGAACTCGGAAGGATAGGGACACATGTCGTTGCCTTTTCGTCGTTTCTGCCTACGCTCCCACTGACTGCAGCCATGATGAAGTGAAAGATGACTTTTACAGAAAACTATCTGAGCTTCTTTAGAAAGCTAAGCGCTCAGACATAGTAGTCGTAGCGGGTGACTTTAATGCCCAGGTAGGCAGCTTAAATCAAACAGAAAGACATTTAGGTAGGTGTTTTAGTATTCCGGCTCAACGAACCGATAATGGTGATCGTCTGTTGCAACTATACTCAGACAATCGTTTATTTTTAGCAAGCACTAATTTTAAGCATAAGGAGAGACATCGTCTAACATGGCGACCACCTGCACCAAACCAACGATGGACTCAAATAGACCATATTGCCATCAGTCATCGTTGGAGAGGCTCAATAGAAGATTGTCGCTCATATTGGAATACTTGTTTAGACTCTGACCACGCTTTAATACGAGCGCGCATTTGTCTGCGCCTCAATGGACGCAGGAAAAGTACACTAAGAAGACCCATTAGGATTGAACTGGAGGTCGAGAAAGCCAAATGAGAATTCCAGAAACAACTGAGTTCACATCTAGGCAGTTCTGTAAACAAGACTGACCCAGATACTGCTTGGAAAGACATACGAACAGCTGTGGAAACAGCAGTCACATCTATTAGTTATTTAAACCATAGGGCCCCCAAATGCCCTGGTACGGAAGAGAGTGGGGAGAGTCTACTCTCCCTCTCGAAATGCTCTCACATGGTCAGCGAATATATAGCCTCTGCCAGGGAAGTCCTACTCACTGCCTTCTCGCGGCGGGGGTGTTGTTTACGAAAGTGAGAGGACGAAAAGCGAATGTCCGGCGCTATAACCGGATTGGTGGACACGGAGGGTCCACCTAGGGGAGTTGGAAAACCCTGATTTCAAACCAATGGTGCACATGGGCTCCAGTATCCTGATGGAACGAATGGCGGAAGAACCTGTCATTGGTCAACGGCAACCATGGGACTGCATCTCCTCACGATGCTCCACTGCCTTGTGGATCAGACCTTCATGTCAAAGGCTCGGGGTGTGGTCCCCTAAGAAAACCACCTGCTTCGGTTTGGGCACCCAGGCAGTATCACAGCCCACACACAAATGAATGAAATTATGAACTCTATTGACGATAATATCCCTGGTCATACTAAAAGCAAGACAATTAACATTATTATTATTATTACCTTTATTATTATTATTATTTACCATATCGCTAACTCACCCCCTTTTATCCCCAATTTGTGTAACCTTACTTTTCAACTTATGCTGCAGCTCGCCCATGGTGGAAAATCTGTCCTATCTAAACGATCTCCAGTCACTGTCTGGTTGAAAGTGAATGCTTCCACCGATAATGAATACTGAAGCAGTCTTTCTGAAACCACGTACGCCGTTCAAGCTGGCTTCCTTCAACGTTCGCACACTAATGCATATCAGACAACAGATAGGGCTGGCTATGTCTTTGGAAGGTCTTAATGTTGATGTTTGCTGTCTATCCGAGACCCGTATTCCAGACTCTAGTGAAGTACTACAAATTCGTTCCCCATCTGTCGCTTCGAAAAGCTTGTTTCACGTGCGCTTATTCGGGGACTCTGTGGCATCTTCGTCTGGTCTTGCTGGCGTTGGTGTCGCACTAAGTGCTAGAGCTGAGGCAGCACTAATCGATTGGATCCCCATTAACAGTCGGTTATGTGCTGTTAGATTAGAAAGTTCCATAAAAGTGAGAAGAAGTCGGCGTGAGAAACGGTGTCTTTTCGTCATCTCCGCCTATGCCCCAACAGATTGCAGCCCGGATGCAATCAAGGATGAGTTTTACCATCAGTTAACAGTTCTTCTCCAGAAAGCGCGTTCGACAGATATTGTAGTACTAGCCGGAGACTTGAATGCTCAGGTCGGGCGTCTAGGCACAGAAGAGAGTCGTCTAGGTGGCCGATGGGGACTTGTTGGTCGCCGGACAAATAACGGGGACCGTTTGCTGCAACTGTGCACAGACCACAACCTGTTTCTGGCTAGCACTAACTTCCGGCACAGTCGTCGACGGTGTGCCACCTGGCGTCCTCCCTCTGCATCCCAAGCCTGGACTCAGATTGATCACATCGCGATCAGCTACCGCTGGCGTGGTTGTGTACAAGACTGCCGCTCCTTTTGGAGTACCTATCTGGAATCTGATCATGCCCTGGTCTGCGCCAATCTCACCTTACTTTTCAGTGGCCGAAGGATTGACCACCACCAACGGATTGATGTTAGTAAACTGGCTGCAACTTCTGTTGCAAGTAAGTATCGAGCGGAGCTAGCCTCTAGGCTAACTACCACCCCACCGAAAAGTATAGATGAGCATTGGTTGCAACTGCATGACGCCATGAAAATGGCGAGTAAAGGCGCTTGCGGCTTCGCGAAACGTCCCGCTTACAAGCACTGGGTTTCTTCTGGCTCCCCATGGCCGGTGACGACTGATCCACCAAACGAGGCGTAAGTCCGCAAGGAACTCCAACTCTTGAAGCGTTATAAATCACCTGGCCCAGATGACTTACCTCCGGCTCTTTTTAAAGATGGTGGTGACTTTCTGGCTAAGGAACTGACTGCGTTGTTTGGAAAGGTTTGGGAGCAAGAAAGTGTTCCAACATCTTGGAATGATTCAATAGTCGTCCCTATCTTTAAAAAGGGTTCACGTTGTTCCTGCAATAACTATCGGGGGATAAGTCTACTTCCGATTGCGTCCAAACTATTGGCTTCTATCATTCTTCGTACGTTGTTTAAAACCCGAGAACGATTGACTCGCGAGGAGCAGGCTGGTTTTCGTTCTGGTCGAGGATGCATCGATCACATCTTCACCCTCCGCCAAATGTTAGAACACCGTCATACTTATCGCAGGCCAACAATCGTAGTGTTTCTTGATATCAGGGCGGCCTTCGATTCGTTTTACAGGACTGTTCTCTGGGATTGTCTATTGAAGAAGGATGTGCCCGAGAAGTTTATTAACATCTTAAAGGCCCTGTATACGAACACCTCAGTCAGAGTAAGGGCATACAACCACCTTTCTCCCTTGTTCCATTCGAGCAGTGGGGTTAGACAGGGTTGCCCGATCTCACCATTCGTCTTCAACTTTGCTATCGACGATATCCTGGAAACAGCTCTGATAGATGTAAGTAATGGCGGTGTGGATCTGCTGCCTGGAGAACGACTTCTCGACCTTGAGTATGCGGATGATATTGTCTTGCTGTGCAATAATGAGGAGGTCAGTGTATGACATGGTGTCGTGGCATGAAAGAGAGCTGCAAAGGGCTAGCTTTTGTTGGTCCTTCACGACTCCCTGGTTGGGGTCCGAGAGATAGTGCAACACAGTGGCTAGAGACGTTATCAGATATGGCTCAGAATAAAAGCCAGTGGCGATCCTGCTGCAACCTTCTTTTACTTTCTACATAAAGAATGGTTCTAACTTTCTTAACTGAAAGAGTCTTCTGGTTGTACATTTCAGTCCGCCTTATCTTTTCATCCCTTCTCTTCCTACTTTCATTATTTTGTGTGGCGCAAATGTATCTGGTGCTCTTTTGTACCAATATATATGTGTTTAAATAAATAAATAAAAAGGGCTCCAAAAAACCAGTGGATTTCCTCTAAGTTTATTTCACTGATGGATTCGCGTAAACTCATCCCATCAGGCTCTGAACATGACGAAGAGCGTAAAGAAATTAGATCTAGGTTAACTAAAAGTCTAAGGAACGATCGTGAGCAGTGGTGGGCAACGAAAGCAAAAGAGATGGAAAAGGCAGCGGCTGTAGGCAACACCAGGCAACTATTCAGACTAATAAAAGAAACCGGAATTAAGAAGTCAAGTGTAAGTGAGACAATCTCGGAAAAAGACGGAACCCCTATCTTCTCTCAACCCAAACGTTTAGAACGATGGGCGGAACACTTTAAGGAGCAGTTTAGCTGGCCTTCAGCTACTGCACAACTACCCACTATTCCCAGAAAACCTGAATGGAACATTGAAGTAGGCCCCCCGACCCTACTTGAAGTTCAAAAGGCTATAACTAATCTGAAACGAGGAAGAGCAGCTGGTCCTGATGGATTGGCTCCAGAGGTCTTTAAATATGGTGGCCCAATTTAACGACTAGGTTGACTAATATTCTGGCTAAAATCTGTGAGACGGACGTAATCCCATCCGACTGGTCACAATCTCTGATTGTCCCAATATATAAGAAGGGGCCAAAATCATCCTGTGATAACCATAGAGGGATTAGTCTGACTAACATAGCATATAAAATACTAGCCTCAATAATTATCGGGCGCCTAACTAAGACTCGTGAACTGCAAACACGAGAAAATCAGGCTGGCTTCAGACTTGGTCGTGGCTGTATCGACCACATATTCACCATTCGTCAAGTTTTAGAGCACAGACATGCTTATCGGCGTCCGGCAATGATAGTTTTTCTTGACTTGAAAGCAGCATTTGACTCTGCAGACCGAGAGGTTCTGTGGCAGTGTCTGTCATTAAAAGGTGTACCTCGGAAGTACATAAACCTTGTGAAGGCTCTTTACTCGAACACTACCAGCCGAGTGAGAGCTTATGGCGAACTGTCATATGATTTTACAACCTCAAGTGGTGTCCGACAAGGCTGTCCACTATCCCCATTTTTGTTTAATTTCATTATAGACCTGTTGCTGGAAATAACACTCTCGTCGACTGAATTTTCAGGAATTGATCTTCTACCAGGAGGTTCACTTATCGACTTAGAATACGCAGATGACATAGTCCTGTTTGGTGAAGACGCTGGCAAAATACAGAGTCTTCTGTTAGAACTGAGTAATAATAACAGGATGTTTGGGGTGCGTTTCTCTCCATCCAAATGTAAATTGTTACTCCAGGACTGGCCTGCGTCAACACCTAAACTTTTTTCCTTCCTATACTATATCCTTATATACAACCTATCTTTTACATACTACCACCACTAAATTAATTACTTCTATGAATCCGGTGTTCATCTTGTTGTGCTAACGAGGTTATGGCAACTTGGACCGGTGCATATATGTGCGTAGTCCTACGTTGTCGCTGACTGACTGATGACTTACCTCCGACTCTTTTTAAAGATGGTGGTGACTTTCTGGCTAAAGAATTGGCTGTGTTGTTTACAAAAGATTGGGAGCTAAAAAGTGTTCCAACATCATGGAATGTGTCGATAGTCGTTCCCATCCTTAAAAAGGATTCACGACTGTTGCTGTAACAACTATTAGGGGATTAGGTCTACCTCCGATTGCGTCCAAACTATTGGCTTGTGTCATACTTCGTAAATTGTTTAAAACCCGATTAAGACTGACTCGCGAGGTGCAGGCTGGTTTTCGTTCTGGTCGAGGATGCATTGATCATATTTTCACCCTCCGCCAAATGTTAGAACACCGTCATACTTATCACAGGCCAATAATCGTAGATTTTCTTGATATCAGAGCTTCCTTCGATTCGTTTTACAGGACTGTTCTCTGGGATTGTCTTTTGAAGAAGGATGTGCCCGAGAAGTTTATTAACATCTTAAAGGCCCTCTATACAAACACCCAAGGCAGAGTGAGGGCATACAACCACCTTTCTCCATTATTCCATTCAAGCAGTGGGGTTAGACAGGGTTGTCCAATCTCATCTTTCCTCTTCAACTTTGCCATTGATGACATTCTGGAAACAGCCCTGATGGATGTAAGTAATGGTGGTGTGGATCTGTTGCCTGGAGAACGACTTCTCGACCTTGAGAATGCGGATGATATTGTCTTACTGTGCGATAATGCCCAAGGCATGCAATCAGCACTTAATCAGTTGGCAATCAGTGTCCGCAGGTAGGGTGGCAACACCATTTTAGTAATGCAGAGGTTCGGCATCGTGTGTTCGGGCTCAGAGACGATAATTTAATTGGTGTCACCATCTTGAAACACCGACTTCGGTGGCTCGGACATGTTCTACGAATGTCGTCCCAGAGAATTCCACGTCGTGCATTATTTGTAGACGCTGAGACTGGTTGGAAAAGGCGGAGAAATGGTCAGTGTATGACATGGTGTCGTAGTATGAAAGGAAGCTGCAAAGAACTGGCTTCTGTTGGTCCTTCATCATTCTCTGGCTGGGGTTCTAGAGATGGTGCAACACAGTGGCTTCAGACGTAATCTTATATTGCCCCTTTTCTCTTCCCATTCCCATTGTTTTGTGTGGCGCATATATATCTGGTGCCCCCTTGTTCAAATATTTATGCGTTTAAATAAACAAATAAATATTCGGTCTTATTTTCGATTGCACAACCAGTTAAATCTTCTAAAGTTTTACAACAACGTTAACTTTTAGTTTCAAGGCTATCTGTTTTGTTTTCAGGTTTCAATGCTGGTCTCGCTGCCTATCCAACTTGGCCTCTCACGCTGTCTTCCATTGCTGTAAGTTTACACAATTTCGTTTGTCGTATTTTTATTATTGTTCCGGTCTCCGGTAGACTTGTATGAAAATACGTACTGGAATTGTGATGTTAAGTTAATAATCTATCTTAACGGTTTCGTAAACTAGGTATTATTTATTTGTTTGAACACATAAATACTGGTACAAATGGGCACTAAATACATATGTGCCACACAATGACAATAAGAATGTGGAAACAGAGAATGTAAAGTGTGTATAAAAAAAGGAGGACAATAACGAACAGAAATTAGTGTACGATAGTGAAATAATAATAATAATAATGGGAGGGGCGATTCAGTTAGCAAATATACAACCAGAAAGAATTTTTCCAGTTAAAGAAGTTACGTCCATTTTTTATGAAGAAAGTAAAAGGTTACAGTAGGATCGCCACTGGCTTCTATTCTGAGTCATATCTGATAACGTTTGAAGCCACTGTGTTGGGACGTTTCGCAAAGCCACAAGCAACTTTATTCGCCATTTTCTTGGTGTCATGCAATTGCAACCAATTCTCACCCTTACTTTTCGGTAGGATAGCAGCTAGCCTTGAACCTAGCTCTCACATGACCGCGTGTATACAGCCATTGTCATGGATTTTCTACTCATTGCCTTGTGGTGGGGGTGTTGTTTACGAAATTAAGAAGACGAAAAGCTAATGTCCGGCACTTTAAACTGGTTGGTGGATATGATGGATCTACCTAGGGGAGTTGGTAAACCCTGATTCCAAACCAATGGTGCACATGGGGTCCAGTATCTTAAAATAACATTGCGTATGAACCAATTGTTTGTCACCGGCTACTATAGGACTGCATTTTCTTACGCTGCTCCACTGTCTTGTAGACTAGACCTTTAGGTCGAGGGCTTCGGGTGTGACCCTCTAATGAAACCACCTGCTTCAATCTGGGCAGTATCACAGCCCACACAAAAATCAAGGGAAGTGACAGTAAACTAGGTTACTTCAGTACCTAAAGATTTCAATAATGTGTTGTATGTTGAGGACTTTATATGTTTTTTTCTTCACAAACTTAAATGATTTGTTTCTTTCGGAGCAAATAATCACATTAAAGTTCAACAAGCTTTGCCACACAAGCTAAACTTAAGTGAGAGTTCATATCAAGTGGTACTAATTAGTTAACCGTAACGGAAAGAAATATCGTCCATTCTATAGATGACTTTTACTGTTTATAAAATTAAGAAAATAGAGAGCCGTAATATAGTTTGTTTTAGGATATCTCCGATGATGTTTCAAGACACTCAGTTATCCTACCATTCGTGGAGCAATAATATTTTAAAAGTTGTCAACCCACACATTACTATTCTCTCTGTTGGACCGTGTCATAAGCCAACTAACTCTTGCATCCCCGAACATGCTCCAGCATCAAAAAGCAATACCCGATAATCCTTTGAAACATACATAAGACCTGACTAAACAATGTGGTTTTATTATGACCTCACTGACTGAGATCTGTCTCCACTATAGCCGAACTCGGACGTCAAACCATTTGGACAATAATTTTACCAAATGTAACGATGGTTGGGCAAAAACTCAAAAATTTTCACCTTGAATAATTCACCAAGTAAAGCTGTTTTTACTCAAATGTTGGACAATAATCAATCATGAACGGATTAACGTTGCTTGGTGGTCCATAAATAATGCCCTGAAGTTGAATCCTAACGAGTGAAGGGACATCGATGGTGAGCATTGATTGGATTATCAGGAAATATATCTGTAGTACTTCCCTGCGGTTTTGGTCTTACTTACCGTTTGTATATTTTAAGTTTACTCGTTAAAAAGTACTCCATGGTCACAAAAGTGTCCGAAACAATACCCTTAGTAATCAACGACATTTTGATTTCCTGGCTAAAGTTCTACTGTGATCTGAAAAATGTCGGATATCCGCATACTTATTGTTCAAAAATATCATCTATACCATTCGAATTCGCAGACAGCAATTTGTACTTTTTTAGTTTTATTTTACTAGTAGCTAAGTTCTTATTACATTTAGCTTTGGTATCTAACACATTTATTGAAATAGCATTGTAATCTCCAACTCAGTGTAAAATATTTTCATTTCGTTTTGAAGGAAACTGGTGTGCCAGTGTTCTTTACAGATTCTTGCTTATACAGTTCACTATGGGGTTTCCAAGTATCAAGTTCTTTGGGTTTAGGCCCAAGTAAACCAGATGCCATTTTGTATGATGATTATTACCAAACTAATGATTCCAATCAATCATGTCTGTTTCTAAATCCATTTCGAAGCCCTATCCGTATTGAGGCCCCGGGTGTGCGGTGGAGCTGGTTCTCAAATGCCTTCATATTCTCCCCTTTTTATCCTGTAGATTATTTACAGAAACGATCAGACCTACCTCTGCGAATGGCTTTAATGAATGTATGACTAATTAACATAGTTTTTGTTTCATTTTGTAATGGATATACCTATTTCTCTTATCTCTGTAAATATTCTATCTCCAGTCTCTCTTAACGTTTTTCCCATGTACCATTAAGTGGCAGCTCCGTAAAGCTGTTGTGTGCTTCGGTTATCACTATTTCATTTGTTGTCTGTATAGAACTTACGACTTTGTTTGTTGAGAAAACATTAACAGCTAGTCAAATCACTGAACGTTTGATAATTTGCAGTCTGTTGTCGGCAAAAAAGCGTTTAGCATATGTTATAACGTGTGAGTGCGTGCGTTCTTGCCAAGTTGATATATATAAACGTGCTGATCCCCGCCAATCAGGGAGGAACGAATTATCGATCAGAGCTATGATACAGAAAAGCCGTATGAGCAGTCTTGAATACTTATCAGTCCTGCTTTCTGCCTATCCCAGTCAGTTAAGTCCAGAACACCAATAACAACCTCTGCAATATAAATCATTATTCTCAAACATACTGCGTTTATATACCAAGCAAACTGACCACATCGTATCATAAAATAGAAAATAATATTTGTACACGATTTAGCCGAATGTGGCTGTGAATAGGAGGGACAGTAATTAATGGACTGGGGACAACTCAAGGATGGTAATAGTCTATAGGTCAAAATAAAGCTTATGATAAGAGAAAAACGAATACGAATAGTCTAGTTACTTAACAATTATACAATAGGGAATATACATATCACATTGGTCCATAAATAGTCCTGAGAGTTACCGTACATAATTCTCCACGGAATATGTTAGCATAGGAGCTTAAATATTAATACGCACTACACTTACATAATTTGTAATGCTCCCGAACCGCATGCATTACTCAGTTTACTGAAAATGCTTGACCATGGCAATAGTTAATGTAAGCTGATATATAGGGAACCTAGGACAGTCATCGTCTATGATAGAATCCTTTCGTCACCTGAAAAATAGGTACTTTATCACGTGACATATTTGTGTCTTGATCTCATGAACATGTTTTAATATGTAGGTGACCAACGTTTACTGAAGAGATCAAATTAATGTAAATAATCACCGACAGTGTCTTTTTTGCTATACTGACAAGGCTAAGACTAAACCGTAATTACAAGGAAGGGGAAAGGTATAGGTGCGTTAGAATATGTTACTCAGTTGTAATAAAAACAACCGAGTACAGAAACTCCTTCAAAGGGACGTACTTAGAGATTTGTTGATATCACAGCAGCAATTTGCCGTCGGAAATCAGTCAGGCTACTCTCGAGAGGATTCCGCTGAACCTGTCGTCTAGTTACTTATCACTAAAAGGACAAACGGAGAGGCTGTATCCATTACAGAGTTCCCTTCCAAGGGATGGGAAGTTTGTTGTAAAAATAGATCAGTGGAACTCGGTCAGTGTTCATTTTTATCCTTCGTCTCCGATCCACTTTTAGACCATTTGAAAATTGGTCCCGTACGAAGTACCAAATGGGAAACTTGCTTCACTAGAAATCTACCCTTCAGTATCCTCTATATTCTATAATGAAAGCACTCATGCCCCTGTGCGAAACTTGATGGGATAAACTCCCATAAGGACGCAAGAGGATCGAGACACTATTTTTAAACATCTGGTTATAATAACAATAGATGTTGGTCTTATTAGGAATTACTTTCACTTGTTCACCTTGTGCTTCTTGTTGTAGCCTCAGTTTATGCGCATACTAGCAACGGGTATGATTGTTAATGGGATTAAGTTTTGTTTGAATTGCCTCCAATTCCCTTGAGCCTTCACGGGACTTCGGTTATTGAGATTTTTTCATTTCAAGTACATGTTCTCAATCTTTACCCTCGCTCATTATTTCGAAACATTCCAACTAACAATTATCAGTTAAGAAATTCCTATACCTTGTGCCCCTATCAATATATAACGTAATGATACCGCCAATTACAGAACAGTGAATTATCGACCGGACCAATGACGCATAAAACCCGTACGAGCAGTCTAGAGTCCTTGTCGGAAATAATGAAGAAAGGCGCCAACAGGCCTTTTTTTCGCCTGTCATTAGGGGAAGAATATTGCGTCCCGCTTTTTTGATCAAAATGTCGCTGAACTGTCTATATTAAGCCTAAATGTCTCCCATATTCGCCTTTAATTCCATAATAAACCACGCGACAACAATCGCATACGTTGAAAGATGATACATGTCTAAAGACATTTACTTAGAAGAGGTAACATCATAGTTAACAAGGACAGCTGCTCGAGCAAACATCGTCACGAATTTCCATGGTTAGTTCGGTCCCATTGTCATATACGTAGATCTGTAAAAAAAACTACAGGTAATGAGTTACTAATTACCAATGTGCTCTAATTTATGAGTACATATGAAGTCGAGGACGATTTCAAAGCAGTTATTTCTTTAGTTCATGCATTTTTGTGGTGATTGTATGAACTAATAATTCCTTGGTACTCTATGTGTATCTGATTTCGAACTATAATTACAATACATTCGTTTGTGTTCTCCTAGTTGTCTGGCTTAAATTGCACTAATTCGGGGATTCTCACTTTGTGAAATCTGAAATTCAGTAAACACAAAAATTTGCAGCAATTAGTCCCTTTGATAAATTTCGATTGTTTTTATAAGACAGTGAAGATTATCAGAACTATTTGATATATTAGCGCAATACATTTCGAACAATTTGATCACATATGTACTTGTTAAGAAAATTTATATCTTTAACTTCTCATTACACTATCGAATCAAAGATTTACGTCGTACAACTGTCGTGACTTGTCAAACTGCCGATCTGAATTATGACGGTTATGTTCGTCAAAACTGAACACTGCACCTATAAGACAGTGGTAAAAAGTTATGACATGATGTATACATGTCCGGGTTTTCTTCCATGACACATTTATAGTTTTCCCGTTGTATCGTGTAAATAACATTGTGTCTCTCGATATCACAGTTTCGAACGTTCTTTTTCATTGCCAAAGACACGCGTTCGACGTTCGTAGTTCTTCTACAGATGACAAAGCGAAATAAATACCTGAGAATCTGATAACACATTTTCGTGGATGTTAACGCTCATCAGACTTAGCTTCATAATGTTCACATTCAAGTATCATATAGTTGACGATATGTTCTGCGGAACAGCATGCAGTTCACCAAATCTTAACCATTAGCTTAAATCGGGGAATTGATCGTGAAGATACGACTAGTATTCTGATTTTACAACCTGCTACCAGTAGCACCTTCTATATACGAAGCTTTCCCCAACCGAATGAAACCAGGAGTCAGATGCGAAGATGTAGGGAAGATATATATTTGATACGTTATCAATATAACGAGAAGCGTCTGATCTAATCTAGCTAGTGAACGTAGGAGCAATGTCCCACGCTGGTTCGAAACGTGATCTGGTACGAATGCATGACCAGAAGCCTTCAGTTAAACAAATCCACGTAAACAACGTGGTCAACATCCAATGTCGAACACTTAACGAGCTATTGATTTTGGAGGTTTATTTACAGCCGCTAGGACGCTGTATACACTCACTCGCACGTTGTAAGCGACCTGTCGAACTAGTTTAATAACATTTTTAAATAAAACACGCCTACTTCGCAGTCGATGAGATGGCAGCTTCCAGGATTCTAAGTTTGAGATAATGAATCTGGATGTTTCCAACCTGCATCTCAACCACACCTATGTCAATGGAATTATACAGACACCCTTGTTTCCGCCTTGACTTATAATTTGTTCGATTAGTGAGTTGACTGCGTAAATGTCATAGTTTAACGTTAATACGAACAAAAATAATAATTCCACGTTAGATGATGATATGACATTATTGTAATAATGAGCATATGATGATTATTTGAATCATAACGGAATATGTCGTCGACGGTTCCATTTTTGGTTCGTGTTCGCTCGTTGCGGTCGCCAATTCTGTTGCGTGTTCCAAATACAGCTAACCAATATGTTGAATGTTCGTTCGGCGAGGAATCCAATTTTGTTACGTGTTCGCATGTCGGGCTAACCAATATGTAGTGTAGTGCTTCGTTAATCGATTGTCTCGACAACCGTTATTATATCAATCTGAACGGTGTATAATATCAGGAGACAAAGGGAAGTGGCAACTACATTTTTATTGATAAATAACATAGGCTAGAAGGCAGTAAGCACATGAGTAAATGTTAGCGAGCGAAGAAAAATAACATACATGGGAAATGGCTGGGAAGCCAACTCGTTATAAGAAAGCATTAATCAACATTTATAGTCAGACTAAAATGAATGACAGACATGTGATAGGTAGGATAAGAAGGGTGCATACACATACGCTCATATAAAAAAATAGTCAAGATCAATAAGGGAATAATTAACAATATCAAAATATGACTCATAACGTTATAGGTGAATTGGATTGTCCAGAAACTAGAATAAGCTATGTAGGTGTAATATAGTACACGACGTTACACTACTCCCCACAATACAACTACGTAAAAGGCTATAGGAATACATGAAAGAAGGGGGTTGGAGTCCTTAAATACATAGCTTATAACATAAACATCGGTTTTTTTGTTTGTGAATCTTATGCCAGCGAAACTTGTGAATCCACTGGTTGTGAACTCTACCTTGAACGTCACACATTTGTACTCGATGTCGTCCGTTGTAGCCCAGTTTGATGAGCTGATGACTTTATTTTTGAGCACATTCAGTTATGGCGTAAAAATAACAGATGCTTGATATCGGGAGACTTTAAAGCACCTGATAATACTTGGACAGACATGACCACCACATGATCTAAAAACTCTTTTGATAATAGGCTTCTGATGACTTTAATGGGACGTGCTTTGGTACGGCATTCATTCAAACCCACGCGTTTCGGTTCAAATCAATAATATTCTTTGTAAGACTTAGTATTCACTCAAGCGATTGAGAATATTGTCCATCTAAATGTTCGACCACCGTTAGCAGACAGCGTTCATGCTGCTTAGACATCCATGTCAAGAGCCTGTGACATAATAAATAGCTAGGTTAAACCACATCCAAATGTGTGTAGAGAAGACATAATAGCCATAGAGGAGTGTGCGGC